AAGCCCAAACCACACCCACTGCCGTGGAGTCCATTCTGACCCACAGCGCCCCTAGAGGACAGAGTGGAACTGCCCACAGGGTCTCCAAGGCTGTCAGTCTGCACAGAAGCAAAGCCCAAACCACACCCACTGCCATGGAGTCTATTCTGACCCACAGCGCCTCTAGAGGACAGAATGGAACTGCATCACAGGGTTTCCAAGGCTGACAGCCTTCACAGAAGCCGATTGCCTCATTGTCCAGGGGAGCAGCTGGAAGATTGGAACTGCTGACCTTTTGGTTAGCAGCCAAATGCTTTAACCACTACACCACCAGAGCTCCCCCTCGATAGACAGATAAACAAACATAAAAGCAAACTGCTGTCACCAAGTTGATTCTCACTCAGTAACTCTGTAAGACAGAGTAGAATTGCCCCACAGGTCTCCAAGGCTGGAATCTTTGCGGGAGAAGAGTGCCTCATCTTTCTCCTATGGAGCAGCTATGGGTTCAAACTGCCAACCTTCCAGTTAGCAGCAAGCTCTCTAACCACTGTGTCCCCAAGGCTCCCTCCCAATAGCACAGAGCATAATGAGATGGGCGTTCTCCGTGTTGGGTTGACACCCCCTGGCGCTGTGGCGCAAACACAGCCCACTGTGCGTACAAGCCCACAGTGTGGCTTCGAGTTGGGTAGAATGTGGTGTGTGTCTGCAGGAACTGCTCTTCAGCAAGGATGACGGCCTTGGAGAGACCTGGCCTCCAGTCACCACGTGGCAAGACGCTGGCTTCCTGCTCCTACCTGTTGGGGTCGGCTGCCCGCAGCCCGGCCTCATTGGTCACGATGACTTTGTAGCAGAGCTCACTGCCCGGGTTGGGCCTCTTCCTCCGCCCTTCTCGGGCATCCTCATCCTCGCTTTCATCCTCCACTTCTTCCACTTGCATGATCCCAAACATCTCCCCGGCGTCGAAAACCTGGGGGTCAGGGCCTGGGTCAGCAGGGCTGTGGCCAGGCTACCCACCCCTCCCCTGCATCACCGTGGCCGGCCAAAGGAGCCACACCGGCCTCAAGGGCAAACCAAGCCCCTCTGAGGAGCAGGACCTACGGCTCAGCCCACCCACACCCCTGCACAGGTGGAGAAACTGAGGTGCCTAGAGACAGGAGCCTGAGCACGGCCCTAACCTGCCCCATGCTGTCAGCCCAGCCCCTCTAGCACCCCTCCTCCACGGCACACCGCCCCTGGGGGTCTGGCTGCGCCCACTGTGTGAGACTTACCCAGTGCAGCCCCTTGTCCTACAGGGACAACTAGGCCCCAAAGGCCGAGGGAAGCCCCAAAGGCTCTGTCACTCAGGAAGCACGTGGAGGGTCAGCACATCGGTGCCCGGGATTTCACTCCAAATTCCCCCTCCCCCAAAACTCCAGCCCCAAACCAGAGCACCTGAGGCAATCCACAGGGCACGGATGCCCGGGGGCCTCCTCAGATCACCTGGCCAGGCCAGGGCCTGCAGGAGGTGTGGCCCTGGGTCGACCCAGCCCTCCCTGCCAACCTCACAAGGAACCAGGTCCATGTAGGATGGAAGACAAGGGCCCCGGCCCTCAACTCTCCCTCATGTAGGGCACTGACAGGCCACGTGGAGCCGGCAAGGCAGACAGGTCAGCTGCTGCTTGTGCATGTCACAGCCAAACGGGTCGCCCTGCAGCCGGGCTCCCACACCGAGTGTCCATCACAGATCAGCACGGGGCCCAGGGAAGACCCTGAAACCAGTCTGGTGGGTTCCAATCTTGGCTCTGCCACTTCCTAGCGCTGGTCCCCTTGAACAAGTTACTTGACCACTCTGTGCCTCAGTGTCCTCATCTATATAATGGGGACATAGAACCTGCCTCGGGGAATGCTGAGAGTATTAATGACCAGTACACACAGAGCTGAGAACAGGGCCTGGCACGCCCTGACCTGTGACGGTATCATCCACCTGCCAGGACAGCGGGGGGGGTTAAGTAAGACAGGGCCTGTCAAGTCCCTGCACACAGGGGAGCCTCCCGAGACCTACTGCTCACTGCGCCATCAAAAACAATAAAACTTCCTCCTGCCTTGGGAGCACTCCCAGTGGCTTCTGTGAGCTGGGTGGGGCAGGCAGCTCTGGGCTGTGGCATGAGTCACCGTCACCCCAAGCCGACAGGCGAGTGGCAGAGAGGGGTGCATGGGAACCACGGCAGTACGTGCCCACTGAGCATTTGCGAGGCCAGGCCCTGTTCTCAGCTCTGCGTATTGGTCATTTAACACTCCCAGCATCCCCCGAGGTAGGTTCTATGTCTCCATTATATAGATGAGGAAACTGAGGCACAGAGTAACTTGTTCAAGGGGACCAGCGCTAGAAGTGGCGGAGCCGAGATTGGAGCCCACCTTCCGCCCCGAGAGGAGGCCCTGGAAGACTTAGGGAGGAGCCATCATCAGAGGTGAGCTCGGAAGGCGGACTTAAACCTCGGCCGTGGGGTGGAGGGGGCCGACGATCTCCGGGTGAGTGGTCTCTGAGGGGCAGGTTCATCTTAAAGTGGGGGGCCCTGGAGCACTTTCTGGGAGACTCGGTGAGGATGAGCGGAGCGAACCTCCTGCTAAGATCCCCCCGCCATGGCACCCAGCAGCCACCACCTTCCCCTCCCGTTTACAGACCAGGAAAGAGGCTCCGAGGGCTGGAATCCACCCCTGGGGCTGAAAACCCAGGACTCCGCATGCTGCGTGCCCCCCCAAACTTGACCGGGGCAGCGGGGGCAAGCGAGACTCTGCCTGAGGTGTGGCTACTCCCTGGCCGAGTGGGGCACACCTCTCCCTGCTGGGACTGCAGGAGCATCTACGGGACAGAGGGAAGAGCAATGGCTTGGGACAGGGACACGCAGAGAGGTGACACTGAGGTACCCCCATCCTTCCCAAAGGAAAGGGCTCCCTTCTAGTCAGGCCACTGGGATCACTGGCCTCCCGGGGGCTGAAGCAGCCCCCTTCTGCTAGCAGGTGCTTTCTCCCCTCCCCCAACCCCGCTGACACCTAGGCCTGTGGCAACAGCAATGACTCACAGCTGGGCCGCTTTCTAGGGAGGCTCACGGAAAAACACCCGCTGTCCCTCAGTGAAGCGGCAGTGGCCAGGGCAGAGGGGACAGGATGTTAGTGACCGCCACGAGGTGCTGGACCCTGGCTGACGCTTGCTTCTCATGCCATCTTACCTGCCGCCCAGGTCCTCCTCTCTCATCTCCCCGTTACAGGTGGGGGTGGGCTCAGGCACGGCCCTTACTGCTAGCAGAGGTGACCCGACCGGCTCATCGGCAGCTGCCACCCAGCACCCAGGACCTCTGAGCCCTCCCTTCTGCCCAGCACAGGCCCAGGAAATGGGGCCGAGGTGAGGGCCAGTCATCCTGGCAAGGGAAATTCACTGTTCCAAGTGTTAGGTGTTACACTACGGCACTAGTGAAACCATGTTATTGTTGTTTGCCGATGAGTCGGCCCCGACTCATAGCGACCCCTCCTTGGGTTTCCGAGGCAGTATCACTACAGAAGTAGGATTGCCCAACCTTCCTTCCGAGGAGTGGCTGGTGGGTTTGAACCGCCAGTGTTTTTACATCTTTGTGTGTGCGCCCTGGGTCTCAACGGCACCTGGTCCATCCCGACTTACAGATGCAGAAAACAGTGGCTCAGAGAGGGTGGGGCCTGTCCCCTGGCCAGGCTCTGGGCACTGCTAGCTGCCCGCCCTGACATCCACTTCCTGCCTAGGCCCCACCTTATCACCTGTACCTTCACTACTTATCTAGCCTGTGTGGACCCCAAAAGGGAAGCCTGGTTCCAGCTAAGAACAAGGCCCCAGTAGCTGCACTGTGGATGCGCTCAGGTTCAGTGCCTGGGCAAAAAGCCAAAATCTAGGGTCCAGTTCCTCAGCCAGGACCAGCAGGGACAACCTTTGGAGGCCCAGGTTAGTGCAGGCTGGTCGCAGAACGGAAACTGTTCCCCCAAAAGAGGAGAGACTCCATTAGCATCTAAACCCTAGCATCTAAGAGGATTAAAGTAAATGAAGAAACACGAAAGAACCCCAGGGCCGGGGAGAGCCTCACAAAGTCATGGGTTCCTATGGACGGAGGAGTGGATGAAGCAAGCTCTGGGCTTTGAAGTCCGGCAGGCCTCGGTTTTCTCAACTGTAAAATGGGGTGATGAGCCAAGACTCCTCCCAGGGCTGTTGTGGGGATCGGGTGCGTGAAGTCAGCACCGGGCCTGGCACACGAAGGGAGCCAAAAGTGGATTCGGTTCCAAATGGCACTGCAGGCCTGGCCCAGCCCCGGGTGCTGGCAGGGTAGGGGCCGCGCTAACGGGTCTCTGGCTGTCACTCTCGGGCGCCAAGCCACGGAGGCGAGCCTGAGTCGCTCCACGCGGCATTCGTGGCGCTTCCCCAACAACGTTCTCCAGCCGTATCCACCCTGGCCGCCCCTATCTCTCAGGAACACGCGCCCCTGCGCTTCTCGCCAGGCCTCCTCCCTCTGCCTGCGCGTTTCCCGCCGCAAACTCCCCTGCGCAGCCTCCCAGCCCGCGATTGCACGTGTTCTCCAGGCGGCCGCCCCGCGCTCCCACCATTGCCCGCCTTTGCCGTAGAAGAGCCAAGCGCCGTGCATCTCCGGGGCGCCTGGGCCAGACGGGGGCGCGCCCCAGGCCCCGGCCCGCACCCCGACCTCCGGCCCGGACCCCGCCCGCTCCGCACCTCATGCTCCAGCTTGTGCAGAAGGCGGCCCCAATAGAGCTCCGGGACCCCCGACGCGCGCAGCGCCGGACCGTGCAGCACCGCGAACTCGGCCAGGGCCTGT